ACACATGTACACACACATGTACACACACACACATACACACACACGTACACACACATGTACACACACGGACACACACACACACGTACACACACATGTACACACACATGTACACACACGGACACACACACACACATACACACACATGTACACACACATGTACACACACGGACACACACACACACATACACACACATGTACACACACATGTACACACACACGTACACACACACACACACACATACACACACACATGTACACACACGTACACACACACACGAACACACACATTCACACACACGAACACACACACAGGTACACACGTACACACACACACGAACACACACACATGTACACACACACGCACACACATGTACACACACATGTACACACACGTACACACACACACACGAACACACACACATGTACGTACACACACATTCACACACACGTACACACACACACACGAACACACACACGTACGTACACACACATTCACACACACGAACACACACACATGTACACACGTACACACACACACGAACACACACACAGGTACACACACACGCACACACATGTACACACACATGTACACACACGTACACACACACACGAACACACACACATGTACACACACATGTACGTACACACACATTCACACACACGAACACACACACACACACGAACACACACACACATGTACGTACGCACACATTCACACACACGAACACACACACATGTACACACGTACACACACACACGAACACACACACAGGTACACACACACGCACACACATGTACACACACATGTACACACACGTACACACACACACGAACACACACACATGTACACACACATGTACGTACACACACATTCACACACACGAACACACACACATGTACACACGTACACACACACACGAACACACACACAGGTACACACACACACACACACATGTACACACACATGTACACACACGTACACACACACACGAACCCACACACATGTACGTACACATACATTCACACACACGTACACACACATGTACACACACACGAACACACACACGTACACACACACGTACACACACACACAAACACACACACATGTACACACACATGTACGTACACACACATTCACACACACGAACACACACACATGTACACACGTACACACACACACGAATACACACACATGTACGTACACACACATTCACACACACGTACACACACATGTACACACACACGAACACACACACGTACACACACACACGAACACACACACATGTACACACACATGTACGTACACACACATTCGCACACACAAACACACACACATGTACACACGTACACACACACACGAACACACACACATGTACACACACATGTACGTACACACACATTCACACACACGAACACACACACATTCACACACACGTACACACACACACGAACACACACACATTCACACACACGTACACACACACACGAACACACACACATTCACACACACGTGCACACACACACGAACACACACACATTCACACACACGAACACACACACATTCACACACACGTACACACACACACGAACACACACACATTCACACACACGAACACACACACGTACACACACACACGAACACACACACATTCACACACACGTACACACACACGTTCATGTGTAAAAACCTCGGATGTTTTATTATCTCTCCTCTGAGATTATCGTCGTTTTTTCTTGTAAAATCTTGTAGTTTTTGCTTTTTTGTAAATTTATTTCAGTAAACATCTGATGTTTCCTGGTAACGCTGTGTGTGTGTGTGTGTGTGTGTGTGTGTGTGTGTGTGTGTGTGTGTGTGTGTGTGTGTGTGTGTGTGTGTGTGTGTGTCCAGCTCTGTGACGGAGCAGAAGACCACAGTGAGCATCCTCGATGACATCGGCAGCATGTTTGATGACTTGGCCGACCAGCTGGATGCCATGTTGGAGTAACCATGGAAACCGCTCCACGTGCATCAGGACTGTCTGACGACGATGGCACAACATGGATAACTCGCTCTCCTTCTCTCCATCCACCTCTCTGACGTGAGCTCCACCTCCTCGTCGCTGCAGATGAAATTCTCTCCTTTTCTCCTCCCAGAGGCGGATGGAGGAGCTGCATCCAACGCCTGAACAGACGCATGCAGGAAGGATGGATCACAGGGAAGCGCCTGGGAGACAGATGTCCTAAAAGGACAACATAAGAAATATAAATAAGGATTATTAAAAGAAACACAAGTGTAGGAGACTTTAAAGGACTCCTCGTGAACAAAAAGATGTTAAAAAGCAACAGTGTAAGAAATCGTATGGTATGTGTACATCCTAAGCATGGAGAGTTGATATCTACTGACAAAGTTCTGCATTAGCACAGTAACACATGACATATGATCTGTATACATACATGAGTACCAGTCTAGGCTTTGGTTTGATGTCCTGGGTGGAATGGTGCCCTCTGGTGTTGTGATGATGTAAATGACTCGGTGGAAACTGTGTGACCAAACGGAAACAATTCAGTGTGTGTGTGTGTGTGTGTGTGTGTGTGTGTGTGTGTTCGTGTGTGTGTGTGTGTGTGTGTGTGTGTGTGTGTGTGTGTGTGTGTGTGTGTGTGTGTGTGTGTGTGTGTGTGTGTGTGTGTGTGTGTGTGTTGACAGTCGGATCTAAATGAACTTTAGTCGCGAGTGAAAATCAAACATCAGCAGTTTAAACCCAGTTTCATAGATTCTAACGTCGATGCTTTAACACGACGACGTTCTAAATCGTTCCTGAAAACTTCAGCTCTCCATCTTTCTGTGCGACCACGTGCCCCCTGCACTAGTGACGGGTCAGGACCAGGCTGGACTGGTTTTCTGCTGCCTCCTCATTCTGGACCTCCACAGACCAGATCAGTCTGGACTCAGTGCTGCTTGTTTGTCATTGCAATGAAGGCAGGAACCAGGTTCTGCAGCTTGTGTGAGAACATGGTACGGAACATAAAGGAGAACGTTTGGATGGGACAGGATGTCAAGACTGATAAAGAAATGTGATCTTGGTCTGTTTAGTCGTGTTTAGCGGGAGAGCAACTGAAAACCGCCACCAGTGGGTTTGGGTGTGAACATTAGAGCAGCAGCTCCATCAGAGCTGGACCCGAGTCATGGACTTGGACCATAAGTCACTAACAGGGAAGGGACCTTCAACCTCACTGGGACCTGAGGCGGCTCCGTCTGCAGCCGAGGCTGGGACCTCGCTGAGAGTTGTACTGATGTGAGACAGAGTTACCCGAAAGCGGGTTTAGAGAATCTTTTCTACAAAGTCGTGACACTTTCTTCCATGACGTCACAAATTAGACTCAAAACTCCAATTTGGGGACTTGGCTGAGTGTAGAGTAGAAAGTGTTCGGTTCCTCCTCTGATGTCCTGAGATCGTTGATGTTTAACATCCAGATGTGTACGGGTTGTTCGGGGGGGCTTTTAGCAGCAGCAGGCGGAGCTTGTCGTGATGCGATGCTGAAACTTACAGGAAGTATCTAGAACCTCCAGCTGTTGAAGCGAGAACATTGCTGATGTTAAACTCCAACCTTTGTTTCTGCACACACTGACAGGCCCATGTGCACTCAGGAGAAGCACAACGACCATGCAGCTGGCTCACACACACACACACTAGAGCTCCAGCTGGTTAACAGGTAAACTTCATGTATTTAAAGGGTTGAATATTAAAGAGTTTTTGTACAACCAGGGAAAAGAATCCGTCGCAGGACGAATCCCTCCTAAAGGTCAGCACAAGCAGCGCAGTCAGAGCTGCACGTCATGAACGAGGGCTTCAAACCCGCTGCTGGCTGAAAGCAGCAAACTTCAGGTTCCACCATCAGGTTCTCCCATGGTCCATCCTAGAGCTCCACCCCGCGGCCCTGTGCTCCAGCAGCACCGGGTCAATGTCCTCTCAATGGTGGCTTTATTGATGGGCTTGAACAGATCTGTTTCCAGGGTGTGTGTGTGTGTTGGGGGGGAGAGACTGGGTTCAAAAGTTCGAGTTTACTGAGGCTCTTCCCTTATTTATGTTGTCCTCTCCTTCTCGTGGGTTCAGGCTGCGCCATGGCCAAGTGTTTCTGGTAGAACCGGGCTGATATCTGCCTACTTTCATTGGTTGGTTTCCTGACCCAGACTTCATTTTTCATCATAGTTTCTCATTCCAGGATCTTAATGTTTTATCCATACAGAAACCAGATGATGTGTTTAGGCCCACAGCTCTGTTGGAACACCCAACTGGGGCCCAGATTCATCCATTCAGGTGATGGTGTCAGTCATTATTCCATGCAGCATGTCATGATGCTGCCACCACCATGCCTGACTGTTGGTGTCAAAGCTTCACCTCCACTCCTCCAAACATTTGCATTGTAACTGTGGCCAAACAGCTCAGTGTTTGATTCGTTAGAAGACGTTTGACTGGTCCAAGTAAGGCGATAGCGTCTTTGGGTTCATATAAAACTGTCTTGACTGACGATGGAGACGTTGGTGTTCCAGAAAGGCCTGAGCCTTGAGGGTTTCTGAACATCTGAATCAAGTTATTTTCATCTGAGGGGACAGGTGAGAACATAGTTTTGGAGAAGCCAGCTTCAGTAACTCGTCACCAACAGCCTGGATGTCCACACAAATGTTTAATCATGCCAAGTTAAGGAACCTTCTAGAACCTTCAGGGTTGCTTAGCAACAGATGTTTGTATGGGAGCCTGTGTGAAAGAGAGAAAATCCACAACAAAAGCAAACTTCTGCATCCAGTTTTTAGTTTTCACAGATGTGTTTGACTTTTCTCGTGTGAGAGTTATATCCTGGGAAGAAACGCTTTAAATCTGTTACTAAACCTCAGAACTGGCGACATCCACGCCCGTGATGGGTGATCTGATGTAAAAGTTTGCAGCATGAACTCTTTTTTTTTTAAACAACATGCTTGATTTCCTCACACAGATTTCATGATTGTAAATCTTCCTGTAACATCGTCCATAGATACGAACCATGATGCAGCCGCTGCCATGCTTCACACCAGGGATGCTCTCATTTTAAATGTAGTCTATAAAATCTCCTCAGTCACAGATTCACGTCTGTGCAGCAACAATAAGAAACCATAAAAGCTCAAAATGACTGATCCGGTTGGAGCTTTCTAAAGCTGCTTTGACATGATGCGTAGAACTAAAACCTTCGGGTTTAATAACACTTTTTGTTCCTATAATTGTGTAATGAAAGGCCAGATGTGGATGATCCTGCTATGAGTCTGTGAATCAGATTGTAATTCTAGAAAAGCAGACATTAAACGCTAGCTAGGCTAAGCTAATAAGGTCAGACTTAGGTGCATCACCACCCCTCTGGACCCGGTCTGATTCACTGAACCATTAAATAGTTCCCGAGTGCGGCCACAGCTGCAGCTTACCGCTCCCCGCGGGGATGGGTCAAATGTGGAGATGAATTTCACCAGTGAGTGATGATGACTAAGGTAACTTTAAACCCACTGATATTCCAACGGTGAACCTTTTTTTACCTTTTAGTCCCGCTTTCCCAGCCGCTCACCTCATTGTGCCACGACAATCTACATCAGCACCGTTTTCATCAGCATCACCAATGCCGTGGACAGGATTAGGACTGGTGAAGATCTGTGAAGTCTGATGGTTTATTTCTGTTTGCAACCAGATATTGGTGCAATAGTTCATTTGCACCTCCGTCCACCATAAAATCAAAGTCTCATTAAAACCACATTCTATGTCTATGGATAAATATATAACAGAGAATAGTTGTGGTATTTAAATTCTGATCACAAAAAAGATATAAATATATACATATATATATGGGTATTTGCAACAAAGTGTATTTATGATGTGTGTCATTCTGAAGAGTATTTTTAAACAGATCTAATCTGAGTATTGAACCAGTCTGCTTCTCCATGCTTCAGTGGTCCAAGATGATGAATCATTGTAGGATACCATGTTGGGATTTTTAAAGGAAGTGTTATTTTTTATTACTCATTTTATTTATTTATTTGTGTACATGTGTCCAGGTGTGGCAGTGTGTATAATACAAGCAATTATTGTTGTTCGGTTGTATAATTTACTTTTTTCTCTTTGGAAACATGTGCCTTGCTTTGTGATTTTGGTCTAATTTCAATACAGTAGATGGGTATGTACAAAAATCAGGGAATTTCTCTCTTTTTCCCTTTTTGAATCTTTCCTTCATTAGTTTGGAACGCTGGCTGCCATTCTCCCTAAAACCACAACTTCAAAGTAAACTACAAAGAAATTTGGCTAATTCTATAAAAGTGAGAACTCTTTATCACTTCACATAATCTCAACCATTGTGTTAGTAGACACACACAATAAACGGTTCCTGTTAGACAACACAATCAATAAGACTTCACTTCTAGAGATAAAAAGGTTTCGGGTGTTACAACAGGCTAGCTAGCTGGTGAATAGATCAGGTTTTACCAGCTAGCTAACGTTCAGGGCTGGTATGGTCATTACCTTAGCAACAGTCTGCCTGGAAAGCTACTGGTTAGCTAATACAAGCTAGTTAGCTAACCTATTATAAAGGGTACCTGCAGAAAAAACCCAGCATAGACCAGTATATGTTGTATTTTAGTGCTGGTATGCTAGTACAGCATGATGCTGGTGATGGGAACTTAGCTGGACCAGGGTACATACCAGCATGGTGGTCTACAAGCACCAAAGCACAACATGCTGTTCTGTGCTGGGTTTTCAGCAGCGCTTACTGCAATACTGCTTGTTAAATGCATGCAATAAACTCAGGTTTTTGTATGCTGATTAAAAGCTAGCTCGAATTTGACATTTTTAAAAAGTTGTTGCAATAGAATGGTCCTACAGCTCCATCCATTTTCATTTATGTGTTTACTGCCCATGGTCTACACTGATTGAACAGGAAATTATTCAGCCATTTTGGTTTCAAAAACATAAAGAAAACTGTTTTCCATCTATGTGCTAAAAATGCTAAGTTATCAGGAAAATAATAGTATAATTTACAGTTCATTTATATAAAAACAAGTCCTGTCAAGATGGGTGAACTGATGCTTATTTTGCAATTACTGCATAAGCTAATTTCTATCACCTGATGGATGTTCAGAATGCAAAACCGTGTACAAGACAAAAATAAAAAATAAACAGAAGTTTCTGACAGAAAAAGACAAGACCGAATAATAATGTTTAATCCCACTCTAGCTGTGCCAATATAGTAAAGATAGATATGAAAAAGAAGAGAACAAAAAAGTGAGTAGTTTCACAGTACTAGGAATTTCCTTTGGCAAAATTGTGCACAAGCACAAAATTAGTCATATGGCGGAGACAAAAAACAATTTTGATATTGCCCTAATATTTCCTTTTTTGTCTTGCGCCCCCCATGAAAGAATACTGGCCCCACTGTGGTCCCCCTGGAAAATTTGGTCTAGAACCGCCACAGCTGCTGTAGCCAAAATGTTATAGGATGACGTGTTTTATGAGGGTTCTGCTTCATTCAGAACAAGAATTACAAACATTTCAACTTTTTCCATCCATTCATCCATTTGAGTCATCTTACCCAGGGTAGCAGACTTCCCTCTCCCCACCTTCTTGGGCCACCTTCTCCGGGAAACCCCAAGGAATTCCCTGGCTAACCGAGAAACATAGTCCCTCCAGCGTGTCCTGGCTCTTCCTTTAGGTCACCTAGTTGGACGCGCCCGGAAAACGTCACTAGGGAGATGTCCAGGGAGCATCCTAATCAGATGCCCAAGCCACCTCAACTGGTTCTTCTCAATGTGGAGGAGCAGCTGATCTACTCTGAGCCCCTCCCAAATGACCAAGTTTCTCACCCTATTTCTTAGGGAGGGCCCAGACCCAGTGGCCACAACTCCGGTTGGCCACTTTCTCAATGGAAGCTCGGAACATAGCCCACTCAGATCCAGTGTCCCAGCCTCATCCAGAACATGTCTAAAATTCTGTCGGAGGTGGAAATTGAAATTCCTTCTGACAGTGGACATTCCGAACAGACTCTTAAAATTTTGGGTCTGCCATGTCTGACTGGATTTCTCCCACTCTTGAAGCTGACTTACCAGTTGACAGCTCCACCCCACTCTTCGCCAATGTCCAAGATATGCGCTGCAGATCAGATAAAATGACAACAAAGTCAATCATCGAGCTGCAGCCTAAGGTATCCTGGTGCCAAGATATAGACACATATGGACACCTTTATGCTTAAACGTGTTCATTTTGGACAATCCATAGCACGCACAAAAGTCCAATAACAAAACACAGCTCAGATTCAGATCAGGGGGGGCTGTTCCTCTCAACCACACTCTCCAGGTCTCACTGTCGTTGCTCACGTGAGCGTTTAAGTCCCCCAGCAGAACGAGGGAGTCAGCGAAAGGAGTGCTCTTCAGCACCTCCTTCAAGGTCTCCAAAAATGGTGGGTAGCCTGAGTTGCAGTTTGGTGCAAAAGCATATACAGGAAAGTCCCTCTACATGTAGGAGGAAGGATGCTACCCTCTCGTTCACCAGGGTAAACCTTGACATACAGGCATCAGGATGGGAGCAACAATTTACCCACCCCTCGGCGACTTTCAGTGGCAGCAAATCCAGAGAGGTAGAAAGTCCATCTCCTCTCGAGGAAACTGGTTCCAGAGCCAGAGGCAAACGTTGAGGTGAGTCTGACTACATCTAGCCAGAACCTCTGAACCTCTCACACCAACTCTGGCTCTTTCCCCACTAGGGTGATATTCCACGTGCCAAGAGCTAGCTTTTGTAGCCAAGGATCAGACCGCCAAGGTCCTCGCCCTCGGCCACCACTTGACACACATTTCACCCAACCCGTTTGACCCCTCCCACGAGTGGTGAGCTAATGGGAAGGGGGAGCCATGTTTCCTCTTTGGGCTCTGCCCGGCCACCAGGCGCTCGCAAGCGTGCCCCGCCTTCAGGCCTGGCTCCAGAGTGACCCGCGTCTGGGCGAGGGAACACGGGGTCTTTGGGCTGCACTTTGTCTGAATCCTCACCTATGACCTGTATGACCCCACCAGAGGCATAAAGCCTCAGACAACGAAGCTCCTAGGATCTTTGGGACACTCAAACCCAGTGGCGGCTGGCCAGTAGAGGGCGATAGGGCGCCACCCTCCCAGTTTCCCCACAGTTTTAAATTTTTATTTTGAAAAATAAATAAATAAAATTAACAATAATCACGTATTCTAAGTAAATTGTGTGTTTTGTAACAAAAATAAATCATATATATATATATAGGTCTCTGCCGGTCTCTGCCGAGCGGTGGAGGCTGTGTGCTGTGTTTCAATCGCCCAGACAGGACGAGACCAGCTGTCCAATTGCTGACAAGAAAATCAAAGGGTAGGAATGGGAATGTATCCAATCAGCGTCGACGTTGTTTCAGAAGCATGATGGGCGATAGAGCTACTGCCAAGGCTTTCGTTGGTGTTCGGAGAGTCTGGACTCCAGCACGTTTTTGGTCGTGACTGTGACGCACATGGAGCAGACGCAGACGCAGACATGGACGCCAGTGAGCCTACAACATGGACACCGGATCTCAGCAGCCACTGAATTCAGTTCGGTCTCTTCTCCAGTATCCGTTCGAGAGGAGAACTATGGTGGAAAAACTTAATGTCAAAGAGCTTGGACCAGATCAGCCCGACGTAAAGATAAGCCAGCAGGAGGAGGAGAGAGGTAAACTGTACACACGACGCTTCTCCTGAAATTGGTACACCAGGAAGCAGTGGCTAGCTGGATGCAATCACGCTAATGCGTTATTTTGCTTTCTGTGTTTGTTATTCAAAACGACTGGGATCCACAGAAGGTGGATGTGGAACTTGTGTCTCATTGGGGACTCCATTCATTCTCTAACTGAGGAATGCAGCGCATCAGTGCAGCAGCCAGCAAAGAAACGGAGGACGTTTGGACAGGGAGAACAGCAGCTGGGTGCAGAGGTAAGCTGTACATTACATTTCTGTAAACAAGACAATCAGAATCAGAAATCCTTGGTTGTCCCACAAACCGGGACATTTGTTTAATAACATGTTTAATGTGCAATAACTGTAAAAACTCATTTCAACACACATACCTATTATACATATTTAATCATGTAAATGTGTATTTCAAGTAAATTTGTACATCAATCTGATTCCATTTTACTTGTTACACTTCTGCTGCAGCAAACAAATTTCCCAGCTTTTGGGACAATTAAACATTTCTGATTTGTCCCAAAAAGTGGGAAATATGACATTTGTAAGAGGATACTGATGATATTATTTCCTATGAAAGTGTTTCCACTTTCCATAAGTCCTAACAGTGTAAATTTCTGGCATTTTGTCTAAGTAGTGTTTACTACCATTACTGTAACAGTGACCTGCTCGTAATTCTTCGTGTTCACTCAAATGTTGAAATTAAACAAAATGTTTTGTTACTTGCCTCTTGCATTGCCTATTTACCATACATGGTCGTGTTATTTTATGTCCAATTTAATGCAGTATTTTTCAACCTTGGTCCGCAAGGCAGCGTGCCGATAGTCAGACACACCTGGATTAATCAGTTTGTCCAATGATGTAAGACAGGAAATAAAAGAGCTGTGCTTAATTCAGGAAATAGTGAAGTTGTGCACAAAGCTCAGAAAGCACACGTTTGTTTAAAAATAAAAAATAGCACAGCCCCACCAAAAATATTTTTCACCAGCCGCCACTGGTCTTCACTGATGTTGAGCTGTTTTGGGAATGAGTCGTGTGAGTACGTTGGCGAGAAGATTGTTGCTGGATGTTTGGGTGTCAGACGGGCAGCTGAGAAGCCATTTCTGAGAAAACCATCAAAAACAGACTGAAGTTCCACTGGAGGTCCGAGGGCCGGACTGCTGAGGTCTCGAGGAAAGTTGTTTTTTCAGACGTACCGTATCTCCTTTTTGATTGTTTGGACCTACCAGAAAAAGAACCATAAAAAAGAGCTCGAGCGGATCAGGAAAACATCAACAGTGAGAACTTGTGGTTCATTCCCCCAGAAGTAGCAGGACAAACAAAAATCCACAAATTCTAACAAACTCCAAACATGAACGATGAAGGAGCTCCATCAGGATCTGGACCAGCATGTCAGAGTGAACTACAGAGGTCTAGAAGGACCAACTTTGTAGATACTTGTATTTCTATGTCCGTAACCATAGAAACATCTGACAAAAACCTCTGAAATAGCTCATTTTGAACATCTACAACTGTATTCAGTAAACGCTTGACCACTGCAACTGTAAACGATTTGATTAATCCGATTCACATCTCTCAAAGTGTACAATAGTCTTTATTGATCAACGATAAACTCAAGCTTAAATGATTACAAGTATACAATAAAATCACTGGAAATGTGGCCAGGCGAAACTCGATACTTGTCCTTTTCTGAAGCTCAGCAGGTCTGAGCTCCAATAAAAACATGGAGTTTAGTGAGCTACTTGGCTAACGTTATGTTTTCTATCCAATGTGAGTCCTCCACTTACAGCTAGTACGTCAGCTCAGGGCTGCTTTGCAGGGGTCTCATTTATCAAACAAATGTACTTACGCCAAGCAGGTGTGTGATCTGTCAAACATGGAGGACGCACAGCTGCACGCAGTCTTCGCTTCATAAATCAGAGACTAACGAGAATGGTTCTCAGCTGAATTTTAGCCACATCTCGCCCTCACCACGCCCACTTACTGCCATAAATGGTCAATGCAAAGTGCCTTGTGGATCTCATGCATATACATAAGCCGACTGTTGCAGCATTTCGATCCCGACCGCAGATCAAGGAAGCGCTATTTCACAAGCAGAAGATGAGGTACCTGTGGGTGAGGAGGAGAAATGACAGGAAGTGCTTTTGCAAAACAAATAAGAGAAAATCCACGGAGTGGCACAGCGTTGCTGAAGCCGTCAATGCTGACTTCTTCAGAGAGATCTGTGGCGGATATAAAACAAAATGGTCCAATCAGGATTCGATCCCCAGACTCCCGGATGAAAGTCACACACGCTAACCAGTCACCCAAACAGGATCTCCCCTGTACAAGTAGCCAGGGTGCATGATCAATCGGGTCACAGTGACAGGACACACACTGTCACACACGCATGATGTTCTGTCTCAATCTGTCCCCCTGCTGATATTCTGCATTCAGTATTCTGGCTTCAGGCTGTGTGTGTGTGTGTGTGTGTGTGTGTGTGTACAAGTGATAATGCTGCAGGATTTCATAATCGTATCTTCTCAGCAGCAGCACTACAGGTGCTCTCCATGTCCAGCATGTGTGTAAGCCAGGTCCTAAAATTGTCAACTTAAAGTTGCGCACATTTTTCCGCTAATCCCAAAGTTTGCGTGGAAAGTTGCTTACGCAGTTTTCCGACCCCGTTTTGTGCGTATGCAAGCTTGATGAAGGAGACCCCTGGTCTTTAGCTGTGGTTAGTTAAGAGGAAGGCGGGAACTGAAGACATTACTAGTCTCTTATAGGGATGTCCCGGTCAAGAGCAGCACTCGGTATCAGAGCGGGACGACGACACTCAGCTTCTGATCTCGTCGTGTTGGCTCGGTGTCCACAGTTTTACGTTAGTGGAGCTAATTTAACACCAACACCTTTAACCGGGAGCTGGAGGCGAGTTCAAGGAAACCAACCAATAAAAAGCCTTGTGAGGTTGGCGTTTAAAATGTTAGCGCTCGTTTCACTTTACAGAATATTTAAGGAACGACTTCCCTCTCATCTTCTTCCAGTTTGTGTTTTTAAACCCGTCGTGTAGAGCAGACCACAGGGCTGCAGAGTTGCTGCTTTTAACTGCATTTATAAACACTGTTGGCCCTTTCAGCAGCCCACCTGGTGTTTACGGATCCTCTACGAACGGTTGTTTAGGAGCAGCGTGTGTCTAAAGAGGCTGGGCCCTGTATCAGGGCCATGTCTTCATCAGGACATCTCTAGTTTCTTGCATTTGGCACAGATTAACACACATTTACCCTTCGTCCCCGCCCATCTGGCTGCTGTAAGTCCATTAGTGGGCACGTTGTCAAGGCTCTGTGACATTTAGGGTTACACAGCTGTACAGTCATAGCACTGATATAAAACGTTACATGTATAGATTTGTCACTGTCTTAAAGGCTTTGCTTAATAAAGTTAGATTTATAAAGGCCGCGTTAACCAAACTGACTGAGGTGACAACCACAATGCATCTAGAACTACAGTGGAGAGTTAGAAAAGTCCAGTCTGAGCACAAGTCCTTGGTGCACACCAGAGTTCAGCTGAAAGCTCGTTAAGAGTCTGGAACTCGTGAAGCCGACCACGCCACTCGGCTGCGACTCGACTCGACATCTCGGGTCATCCAGCCTCAAACGTTTACAGTAAAGTCACGAAGAAGAAACCAAGTATTGGGAGGGAGAGCAGTCTTCCAACGTGAAGCTTCAGGCATCGTTAGCAGAGTTGTTCACTGGCAGCAGTTTGTGAAGGAGGCAGGTGGGTGTCTAGTTAGGGCGACTGTAAGGCAGCTTATCCTGACGTGTGTGAAAATGCACTGGTGATGAGGCCATCGGAGAGAGAGTCACAATCAAAGAGATAGGTGCAGAGAGATCCTGTGAGGATGGACACCTGCAGAACCACCTGCTGGCTTAGCATGTCCACACCTGGGGGGGGGGGGGGGGGGGGGGACGACAAAAAGGTACAGCTCAGAAAACTGTCACTGGTCTCTGATGTCGGGGAAACCTGACCCTCCCCATGACTACCGTTATCAGACACACATCCAGAAACTACAGAACAGGATCACATAAACACCTTTTATAATAATCAGACACCATTTTAACACCAGCTGACTGATTTACCTTCACGGTGCTGTCCACAGCTCCGGAGAACAGGCGCCCCCTGGAGACCGCCAGCGCCGTTACACTGCCCTGGTGCCTCAGCAGAGTCTGGGTACAGATCATGTTGTCCATGCTCCACACCTGCAGCACCGACAGGGAGGGTGTTACCTCAAAGGACGGACACACACACACACACACACGCACACACACACGCACACACACACACACACACACACACACACACACACAAACAGACACACACACACACACACACACACACACACAGTACTCACCCTGAGGGAGCGGTCGTAGGAGGCGCTGAACACTTTAGTTTGGTCTGGGGTAGAGATGACAGCCAGAGCATAGACTGTCCCCACATGACCCGTTAGGGTTCGCACTTGTTCTTTAGTCTCAATGTCCCACACCTGGAGATCACACACACACACACACACGTCTTACCGCGCTTCACTGGGTTGGAACAGGTTGTGGTTACCACACCAGTGCACCAGCAGCATGGTCGACTACAGACCAGCACCTTCTTACATGAATCAGGTTTTCATAGGTGCCACAGACGATGTGGTGGTTGGTGACGGCGATGGAGTAGACGCTGCCCCCGCTGGTCTGGAGGACATGGACACACTCCAGGGAGCGGATGTCCCAAATCTGACAGAGAAGAGATGTGTGAACAGCGCTTTAGAGCAGGTACCCTCCCCGTTACGCTACAGCAACAGCAGCCCGCCACGTGGAAGCCTCCACTTTAGTGACCACGGAGAGGTTCAGCAGATGAGGGAGTTGGACTCGTACTACCACCTCACAGATCCCAGCATGTGGTTATCTTCATTAGCAGGTTAAACTGGACGAACCTTGATGGTCTGATAGGAGCCGCTGTACAGGTGGTTCTGGGAGGCTACCAGCGCTCTGACCCAGTGGTTCAGACCAGTGAGCTCTTTCTTCAGCTTCAGCTCTGTCCCAACAATGTCCCACACCTACACACACACACACACACACACACACACACACACACACACACACACACACACAGGAAAGACCAATACCAGTGACAGACCTGCCAACCGAGTCATAAATTTTCGAGTGCGACTTGTGTGGTGTTTTTTAGACTCCATTGCTTTCCACGCTGTAATTTCCCTTTCACCGGCTGAGAATTGACAGAGGTGTGACCAAGTCACTGCTTTGCAGGTCACAAGTCTTTCCAGTCAAGTCTCGAGTCAAGTTCAAGTCAAAGACAACCAAGTCCAAGTTGAGTCCAAAGTCGATGATGTGGAAGTCCAAGTCAAGTCCAAGTCCATAACTTTGAATTTTCAAGTCATAATCAAGTCATCTGTCCGAGTTTATTTTAATGACGACGATAATAAATAAATCCCAGAAATAAAGACTCGTAAAGCTTCGCTGACTCGCTGAAACAGCAGAAAGTTCTGCTGCATCCAGCAGAACCAAGAAGGATTTATGATTTCTGTCCATGTCGGGTCACTTTTGTGATGAAATATCAAATACGCTCAAGTCATCAAGTCAACAGATGCAAGTCGATTCAAGTCGCAAGTGTGTATAGATTTTATCAAGTCTAGTCAGAAGTCATTAAAATAATGACTCGAGTCCAAGTCGAGTGACTCGAGTCCACACCTCTGGAACTTGATTTTATAATAAAAACAACACAAGAGCCATCTTGCTTGGTCCTGCGTGGTCTGCAGCAAACGTTCTACGTGTGTCGGATCACTGGCGTGATGAACAGATGGCCACCATCTTTCAACGCTTTTTGTGTTCTGCACGTGTCGGCAGTCTGCAAAACACACACTTCACCTTTTCAAGCTCACTCAGCAGCAGCGAGTGGGAACCGGAGGACGGAGAGAGGAGGGGTGTTGCGCTATAATTGTTTTTCTCTGATTGGCCGAAACTCCTTCAGCACGCTGCCGAGTCGTGTTGCCAGACACGAGCACCACACGTGCACACTTGCTGCAGAACTCACGGTCTGCAGCTTCGGGCGTGGTTCGGAGGGGCGAGTCGTGGTGCTACACTGAATGCGTACAGGGTGGCGGACTCTAAAGGCAACAGCAGGACCGTCATCCCAGAGAAGAGATCTGAGCCGGGGAACTGGTAAGGGTGATGATGTCACTAAGCGGGGGCGGGGTTAGAATCAGAGTGCTGGCTCTACCTTGATGGCCTTGAGGGAGCCGCTGAACAGCATGTTGTGGGAGGAGACCAGTGTGCATACTGGGTTATCGTGAGCACGGATGGTGTTGACCTTCTGCAGAGTCTGGATGTCCCACACCTGCACAGGAGACAAAACCGTCCGCAGCTCAGGCGAATGATTACAGCTGAAACAGCAAAGTGGAGAGAGGAGGCCGTTGCTCACAATGATCGTGCAATCTGCAGAGCCACTGTACAGCTTGTTGCTATGGAGACAGAAACAGAGCAGGTCAAACGAGGAGGAGAGCGAGCATCCCCAGAACAGGCTGTGTTTGTGTTACCCCTGGATACACAGAGCCAGCACGATGCCATCGTGACCCTCCAGGGTCTTCTGACACTTGTAGGTGGTGCAGGTGTCCCACACCTACACACACACACACACACACACACACACAGTGTCAGTTTTAGGTCGTTTCACCCGCCCTGCTGTCCACAACCCAACAGCAGCAGTGTTTTGGACTCTACCTTAATGGTCTTGTCTGACGACCCGGAGAAGAGCAGGTCTCCAGTGGAGTAGACGCAGAGACACCAGACAGGACCTTGGTGTCCCACAAACGTTCCCTTACACTTGAAGATCTGCTGTGGGTCGTAGGCTGAGCAGAAACACAACAACAGGTGCAGCTACATTAGAGAGGAAGGCGGCCGTCCACAGAGGTCCGTCAGCTCCAGGACAGACGGCTACTTACAGCCCAGGATCCCCATGTTGAGTCTGGCGTTGATGTGAGACAGCTCGTCCTGCAGACACACGTCCATGTTTAGAATAAGTGCATGTGACCGCTTTCTCTGGAAGGTGCTCAGACGCACTCACGTTAAGCATGGAGGCATCTCTCCGAAACTCCATCAGGTCCTCGCTGAGTTTACTCTGGTTCTCATCCAGCATGTCTTAAAACAGGCACAGGGTTACTCACGTCCTCCCCAGCCAATAAAAGCAGGACGTCACCGTCCCCGTCTCCGTTCACGTACAAAACCGGTTCTGACTGCTTAATCGGGGTCGTTTAAAAAGTCTGCTGGTGTAAAACACGAGGATGGTCTAGCTCCACACATCCGGGGCAGCGTGTACAGAAACCAGTCAGAAACATGAAATTTGACCTGAAGACGACGACGCTGTGGTTTATACGTACGTCCCTGTGAGCTCAGGCGTGGAGACGTCTCCGTCATCCGGGCGTGCTGCAACAGGACAACAGAGGCAGTAGCACATTTCTGGGGTGTCCTGCCACCATCCCAGCCAGACACGCCCGTCTCCTCTACCTCGAATCCACCTTTCCGGTCGTTTCCTAACGAAAACCCTGCCGCGGACCTTTGTACTCCTCCAGTCACGGACGTACGAACGCTCGCACCGTTCTCCGATCTGCTCTGTGTCTACCGCTAGATAACCTTCTAATGGCGGTGAAGGGAGCGGCGTCCCGACCAATCATACGCATGCGCTGTGTAGTAACAACAACTGAGCCCGTCTCCACCACGCTCGGAGCTCGTGCCGCCCGTCTCCACCCCCCCGCAGACACGCGTATAGACTAGGCTCCGGGAGCAGCTTCCCATCTCACCAAATTTCAGCTCCAGGTTTTTCTCCAGCTGGTCCAACTTCTCCGAGAGTTTTCCCAACATGGAGCGCAGAAAACCGATATCCTGGTCCTTCTGCGCCAGAGTCAGCTGCATCTCGTGGAACCTAAACGTTCAACATTCAAGGACACGCGTTGAGCAGAACGTCTCCGGGTCAGTGGAGGTAAAACAGCCCGAAACAGGAACCACGCTCTCAGGTAAAGCCCACCTGTCATCCGTCTGCTGCAGAAACTCCTTCAGGCCCTCAAACTTGCAAACCTCCAGGTGGGTTTCGTACGTGTCCTGGTTCCCTATGAAGGTGCAGCTGTGGGCGAGAAGGCACGGAGCAGACGGGCGTAGGTAAATCAGCTGATCTCATCAGCAGCAGAGAGTAACAGAACTTTAAAGACCGACCCGTATTTGGAGTGAGGACATTTGATGTGCTCACATTCCTTGAGGTGAGCCTCCAGGTTCATGGTGAGCAGGGGGGGGCAGGAGGGGTTGTTGGGGCACCGGACCGGTCTGTACTCACACGTGGCCTCGTGTTCTCTGCACAGGAACGACACAGAATCAGTCCAGCATCGTTTAGCGCGCCGTGACACCGGCCGTGGGCGCGGGGCTCCTACTTGCGTGTGGACAGCTTGATGGTGAAGGGGCAGCCCAGCGGGTCCACCTCGAACACGCTGGGTTTCCCCGCCATGGAGGTCGCCGACGCCGCAGCTCCACCCGTGCCGCTGCTCGTAGCTCTGCAGCCATATTTACAGTGAATGAACAGCTCTCCGATCTGCTCGGCGACGGCGATGTTGTTCACCACGACGGTCAGCTTGGCAGCATCCACAGGGCACTTGTCTGTGAGGCAGAGGTGTGACCAAGTCACTGCTTTACAGGTCACAAAAAAGTCAAAAGTCTTTCCAGTCAAGTGTGGAGTCAAGTCCAAGTCAAAGACAACCAAGTCCAAGTCAAGTCCAAGTACTTCATTTTGAATTTTCAAGTCATAATCAAGTCATCTGTTCAACTTCAATTTAATGACAATGATGATAAATAACTCCCAGAAATAAAGACTCTTAAAGCTAAAGATGCACAAGTCATCGTCAAGTCAACAGATGCAGGTCAATTCATGTCACAAGTCATTGGCGTTCAAGTCCGAGTCAAGTCTTAAGTCTTTATAGATTTTATCAAGTCAAGTCAGAAGTCATTAAATAATGAGTCGAGTCCACACCTCTGCTGTGAGGAGGCACATCAGTAAAGTCATCATGGAGGTCTTCTACCCAGCTGGTTCCACAGCTGAACGGCAGAAGGAGCTGGTCTCGTTTTTACTCGGGCGAGTGTGAAGGAGCTGGTCTCGTTTTTACTCGGGTGAGTGTGACGGAGCTGGTCTCGTTTTTACTCGGACGAGTGTGAAGGAGCTGGTCTCGTTTTTACTCAGGTGAGTGTGAAGGAGCTGGTCTCGTTTTTACTCGGGTGAGTGTGACGGAGCTGGTCTCGTTTTTACTCGGGCGAGTGTGACGGAGCTGGTCTCGTTTTTACTCGGGCGAGTGTGAAGCAGCTGGTCTCGTTTGTACTCGGGCGAGTGTGAAGGAGCTGGTCTCGTTTTTACTCGGGCGAGTGTGACGGAGCTGGTCTCGTTTTTACTCAGGTGAGTGTGAAGGAGCTGGTCTCGTTTTTACTCGGGCGAGTGTGACGGAGCTGGTCTCGTTTTTACTCAGGTGAGTGTGAAGGAGCTGGTCTCGTTTTTACTCGGGTGAGGAGCTGGTCTCGTTTTCACTCGGGTGAGTGTGAAGCAGTTGGTCTCGTTTTTACTCGGGTGAGTGTGAAGCAGCTGGTCTCGTTTTTACTCGGGCGAGTGTGAAGGAGCTGGTCTCGTTTTTACTCAGGTGAGTGTGAAGGAGCTGGTCTCGTTTTTACTCGGGTGAGTGTGAAGCAGCTGGTCTCGTTTTTACTCGGGCGAGTGTGAAGGAGCTGGTCTCGTTTTTACTCGGGCGAGTGTGACTGAGCTGGTCTCGTTTTTACTCGGATGAGTGTGAAGGAGCTGGTCTCGGTTTTACTCGGGTGAGTGTGAAGCAGCTGGTCTCGTTTTTACTCGGGCGAGTGTGAAGGAGCTGGTCTCGTTTTTACTCGGGCGAGTGTGAAGGAGCTGGTCTCGTTTTTACTCGGATGAGTGTGACGGAGCTGGTCTCGTTTTTACTCGGGTGAGTGTGAAGCAGCTGGTCTCGTTTTTACTCGGGCGAGTGTGACGGAGCTGGTCTCGTTTTTACTCGGGCGAGTGTGACGGAGCTGGTCTCGTTTTTACTCGGACGAGTGTGAAGGAGCTGGTCTCGTTTTTACTCAGGTGAGTGTGAAGGAGCTGGTCTCGTTTTTACTCGGGTGAGTGTGACGGAGTTGGTCTCGTTTTTACTCGGGTGAGTGTGAAGGAGCTGGTCTCGTTTTTACTCGGGCGAGTGTGACGGAGCTGGTCTCGTTTTTACTCAGGTGAGTGTGAAGCAGCTGGTCTCGTTTGTACTCGGGCGAGTGTGAAGGAGCTGGTCTCGTTTTTACTCGGGCGAGTGTGACGGAGCTGGTCTCGTTTTTACTCAGGTGAGTGTGAAGGAGCTGGTCTCGTTTTTACTCGGGTGAGGAGCTGGTCTCGTTTTTACTCGGGCGAGTGTGACGGAGCTGGTCTCGTTTTTACTCAGGTGAGTGTGAAGGAGCTGGTCTCGTTTTTACTCGGGTGAGGAGCTGGTCTCGTTTTTACTCAGGTGAGTGTGAAGGAGCTGGTCTCGTTTTTACTCGGGTGAGTGTGAAGGAGCTGGTCTCGTTTTTACTCAGGTGAGTGTGAAGGAGCTGGTCTCGTTTTTACTCGGGCGAGTGTGAAGGAGCTGGTCTCGTTTTTGCTCGGATGAGTGTGAAGGAGCTGGTCTCGGTTTTACTCGGGTGAGTGTGAAGGAGCTGGTCTCGTTTTTACTCAGGTGACTGTGAAGGAGCTGGTCTCGTTTTTACTCGGGCGAGTGTGAAGGAGCTGGTCTCGTTTTTACTCGGATGAGTGTGAAGGAGCTGGTCTCGTTTTTACTCGGGTGAGTGTGAAGGAGCTGGTCTCGTTTTTACTCGGGTGAGTGTGACGGAGCTGGTCTCGTTTTTACTCGGGCGAGTGTGAAGGAGCTGGTCTCGTTTTTACTCGGGCGAGTGTGACGGAGCTGGTCTCGTTTTTACTCGGGTGAGTGTGAAGGAGCTGGTCTCGTTTTTACTCGGGCGAGTGTGAAGGAGCTGGTCTCGTTTTTACTCGGGCGAGTGTGACGGAGCTGGTCTCGTTTTTACTCGGGCGAGTGTGAAGGAGCTGGTCTCGTTTTTACTCAGGTGAGTGTGAAGGAGTTGGTCTCGTTTTTACTCGGGCGAGTGTGAAGCAGCTGGTCTCGTTTTTACTCGGGCGAGTGTGACGGAGCTGGTCTCGTTTTTACTCGGGTGAGTGTGACGGAGCTGGTCTCGTTTTTACTCGGGTGAGTGTGACGGAGCTGGTCTCGTTTTTACTCGGGCGAGTGTGAAGGAGCTGGTCTCGTTTTTACTCGGGCGAGTGTGACGGAGCTGGTCTCGTTTTTACTCGGGCGAGTGTGAAGGAGCTGGTCTCGTTTTTACTCAGGTGAGTGTGAAGGAGTTGGTCTCGTTTTTACTCGGGCGAGTGTGAAGCAGCTGGTCTCGTTTTTACTCGGGCGAGTGTGACGGAGCTGGTCTCGTTTTTACTCGGGCGAGTGTGACGGAGCTGGTCTCGTTTTTACTCGGGTGAGTGTGAAGGAGCTGGTCTCGTTTTTACTCGGGCGAGTGTGAAGGAGCTGGTCTCGTTTTTACTCGGGCGAGTGTGACGGAGCTGGTCTCGTTTTTACTCAGGTGAGTGTGAAGCAGCTGGTCTCGTTTGTACTCGGGCGAGTGTGAAGGAGCTGGTCTCGTTTTTACTCGGGCGAGTGTGACGGAGCTGGTCTCGTTTTTACTCAGGTGAGTGTGAAGGAGCTGGTCTCGTTTTTACTCGGGTGAGGAGCTGGTCTCGTTTTTACTCGGGCGAGTGTGACGGAGCTGGTCTCGTTTTTACTCAGGTGAGTGTGAAGCAGCTGGTCTCGTTTTTACTCGGGCGAGTGTGACGGAGCTGGTCTCGTTTTTACTCGGGCGAGTGTGAAGGAGCTGGTCTCGTTTTTACTCAGGTGAGTGTGAAGGAGCTGGTCTCGTTTTTACTCGGGTGAGTGTGACGGAGTTGGTCTCGTTTTTACTCGGGTGAGTGTGAAGGAGCTGGTCTCGTTTTTACTCGGGCGAGTGTGACGGAGCTGGTCTCGTTTTTACTCAGGTGAGTGTGAAGCAGCTGGTCTCGTTTGTACTCGGGCGAGTGTGAAGGAGCTGGTCTCGTTTTTACTCGGGCGAGTGTGACGGAGCTGGTCTCGTTTTTACTCAGGTGAGTGTGAAGGAGCTGGTCTCGTTTTTACTCGGGTGAGGAGCTGGTCTCGTTTTTACTCAGGTGAGTGTGAAGGAGCTGGTCTCGTTTTTACTCGGGTGAGTGTGAAGGAGCTGGTCTCGTTTTTACTCAGGTGAGTGTGAAGGAGCTGGTCTCGTTTTTACTCGGGCGAGTGTGAAGGAGCTGGTCTCGTTTTTGCTCGGATGAGTGTGAAGGAGCTGGTCTCGGTTTTACTCGGGTGAGTGTGAAGGAGCTGGTCTCGTTTTTACTCAGGTGACTGTGAAGGAGCTGGTCTCGTTTTTACTCGGGCGAGTGTGAAGGAGCTGGTCTCGTTTTTACTCGGATGAGTGTGAAGGAGCTGGTCTCGTTTTTACTCGGGTGAGTGTGAAGGAGCTGGTCTCGTTTTTACTCGGGTGAGTGTGACGGAGCTGGTCTCGTTTTTACTCGGGTGAGTGTGACGGAGCTGGTCTCGTTTTTACTCGGGTGAGTGTGAAGGAGCTGGTCTCGTTTTTACTCGGGCGAGTGTGAAGGAGCTGGTCTCGTTTTTACTCGGGCGAGTGTGACGGAGCTGGTCTCGTTTTTACTCGGGCGAGTGTGAAGGAGCTGGTCTCGTTTTTACTCAGGTGAGTGTGAAGGAGTTGGTCTCGTTTTTACTCGGGCGAGTGTGAAGCAGCTGGTCTCGTTTTTACTCGGGCGAGTGTGACGGAGCTGGTCTCGTTTTTACTCGGGTGAGTGTGACGGAGCTGGTCTCGTTTTTACTCGGGTGAGTGTGACGGAGCTGGTCTCGTTTTTACTCGGGCGAGTGTGAAGGAGCTGGTCTCGTTTTTACTCGGGCGAGTGTGACGGAGCTGGTCTCGTTTTTACTCGGGCGAGTGTGAAGGAGCTGGTCTCGTTTTTACTCAGGTGAGTGTGAAGGAGTTGGTCTCGTTTTTACTCGGGCGAGTGTGAAGCAGCTGGTCTCGTTTTTACTCGGGCGAGTGTGACGGAGCTGGTCTCGTTTTTACTCGGGCGAGTGTGACGGAGCTGGTCTCGTTTTTACTCGGGTGAGTGTGAAGGAGCTGGTCTCGTTTTTACTCGGGCGAGTGTGACGGAGCTGGTCTCGTTTTTACTCGGGCGAGTGTGAAGGAGTTGGTCTCGTTTTTACTCGGGCGAGTGTGAAGGAGCTGGTCTCGTTTTTACTCGGGCGAGTGTGAAGGAGCTGGTCTCGTTTTTACTCGGGCGAGTGTGAAGCAGCTGGTCTCGTTTTTACTCGGGCGAGTGTGAAGCAGCTGGTCTCGTTTTTACTCGGATGAGTGTGAAGGAGCTGGTCTCGTTTTTACTCGGATGAGTGTGAAGGAGCTGGTCTCGTTTTTACTCGGGCGAGTGTGAAGCAGCTGGTCTCGTTTTTACTCGGGCGAGTGTGAAGCAGCTGGTCTCGTTTTTACTCGGATGAGTGTGAAGCAGCTGGTCTCGTTTTTACTCGGATGAGTGTGAAGGAGCTGGTCTCGTTTTTACTCGGATGAGTGTGAAGGAGCTGGTCTCGTTTTTACTCGGGCGAGTGTGAAGGAGTTGGTCTCGTTTTTACTCGGGCGAGTGTGAAGGAGTTGGTCTCGTTTTTACTCGGGTGAGTGTGAAGGAGTTGGTCTCGTTTTTACTCGGGCGAGTGTGAAGGAGCTGGTCTCGTTTTTACTCGGATGAGTGTGAAGGAGCTGGTCTCGTTTTTACTCGGGTAAGTGTGAAGGAGCTGGTCTCGTTTTTACTCGGATGAGTGTGAAGGAGCTGGTCTCGTTTTTACTCGGGTGAGTGTGAAGGAGCTGGTCTCGTTTTTACTCGGGCGAGTGTGACGGAGCTGGTCTCGTTTTTGCTCGGGTAAGTGTGAAGGAGCTGGTCTCGTTTTTACTCGGGCGAGTGTGAAGGAGCTGGTCTCGTTTTTACTCGGGCGAGTGTGAAGGAGCTGGTCTCGTTTTTACTCAGGTGAGTGTGAAGGAGCTGGTCTCGTTTTTACTCGGATGAGTGTGAAGGAGCTGGTCTCGTTTTTACTCGGATGAGTGTGACGGAGCTGGTCTCGTTTTTACTCGGGTGAGTGTGAAGCAGCTGGTCTCGTTTTTACTCGGGTGAGTGTGAAGGAGCTGGTCTCGTTTTTACTCGGGCGAGTGTGAAGGAGCTGGTCTCGTTTTTACTCGGGCGAGTGTGAAGGAGCTGGTCTCGTTTTTACTCGGATGAGTGTGACGGAGCTGGTCTCGTTTTTACTCGGGTGAGTGTGAAGCAGCTGGTCTCGTTTTTACTCGGGTGAGTGTGAAGGAGCTGGTCTCGTTTTTACTCGGGCGAGTGTGAAGGAGCTGGTCTCGTTTTTACTCGGGTGAGTGTGACGGAGCTGGTCTCGTTTTTACTCGGGCGAGTGTGAAGGAGCTGGTCTCGTTTTTACTCGGATGAGTGTGACGGAGCTGGTCTCGTTTTTACTCGGATGAGTGTGAAGGAGTTGGTCTCGTTTTTACTCAGGTGAGTGTGAAGGAGTTGGTCTCGTTTTTACTCGGATGAGTGTGAAGGAGTTGGTCTCGTTTTTACTCGGGCGAGTGTGAAGGAGTTGGTCTCGTTTTTACTCGGGTGAGTGTGAAGGAGTTGGTCTCGTTTTTACTCGGGCGAGTGTGAAGGAGCTGGTCTCGTTTTTACTCGGGTGAGTGTGAAGGAGTTGGTCTCGTTTTTACTCGGATGAGTGTGAAGGAGTTGGTCTCGTTTTTACTCGGGCGAGTGTGAAGGAGTTGGTCTCGTTTTTACTCGGGTGAGTGTGAAGGAGTTGGTCTCGTTTTTACTCGGGCGAGTGTGAAGGAGTTGGTCTCGTTTTTACTCGGGCGAGTGTGAAGGAGCTGGTCTCGTTTTTACTCGGATGAGTGTGAAGGAGCTGGTCTCGTTTTTACTCGGGTAAGTGTGAAGGAGCTGGTCTCGTTTTTACTCGGATGAGTGTGAAGGAGCTGGTCTCGTTTTTACTCGGGTGAGTGTGACGGAGCTGGTCTCGTTTTTGCTCGGGTAAGTGTGAAGGAGCTGGTCTCGTTTTTACTCGGGCGAGTGTGAAGGAGCTGGTCTCGTTTTTACTCGGGCGAGTGTGAAGGAGCTGGTCTCGTTTTTACTCAGGTGAGTGTGAAGGAGCTGGTCTCGTTTTTACTCGGATGAGTGTGAAGGAGCTGGTCTCGTTTTTACTCGGATGAGTGTGACGGAGCTGGTCTCGTTTTTACTCGGGTGAGTGTGAAGCAGCTGGTCTCGTTTTTACTCGGGTGAGTGTGAAGGAGCTGGTCTCGTTTTTACTCGGGCGAGTGTGAAGGAGCTGGTCTCGTTTTTACTCGGGCGAGTGTGAAGGAGCTGGTCTCGTTTTTACTCGGATGAGTGTGACGGAGCTGGTCTCGTTTTTACTCGGGTGAGTGTGAAGCAGCTGGTCTCGTTTTTACTCGGGTGAGTGTGAAGGAGCTGGTCTCGTTTTTACTCGGGCGAGTGTGAAGGAGCTGGTCTCGTTTTTACTCGGGTGAGTGTGACGGAGCTGGTCTCGTTTTTACTCGGGCGAGTGTGAAGGAGCTGGTCTCGTTTTTACTCGGATGAGTGTGACGGAGCTGGTCTCGTTTTTACTCGGGTGAGTGTGAAGCAGCTGGTCTCGTTTTTACTCGGGTGAGTGTGAAGGAGCTGGTCTCGGTTTTACTCGGGCGAGTGTGACGGAGCTGGTCTCGTTTTTGCTCGGGTGAGTGTGAAGGAGCTGGTCTCGTTTTTACTCGGGCGAGTGTGACGGAGCTGGTCTCGTTTTTACTCGGGTGAGTGTGAAGGAGCTGGTCTCGTTTTTACTCGGGCGAGTGTGAAGGAGCTGGTCTCGTTTTTACTCGGGTGAGTGTGAAGGAGCTGGTCTCGTTTTTACTCGGGTGAGTGTGAAGGAGTTGGTCTCGTTTTTACTCGGGTAAGTGTGAAGGAGCTGGTCTCGTTTTTACTCGGATGAGTGTGAAGGAGCTGGTCTCGGTTTTACTCGGGTGAGTGTGAAGGAGCTGGTCTCGTTTTTACTCAGGCGAGTGTGAAGGAGCTGGTCTCGTTTTTACTCGGGCGAGTGTAAAGGAGCTGGTCTCGTTTTTACTCGGGTAAGTGTGACGCTCTCGTTTCTGCAGAGGTCTCGGTATGAACGAACACCTAGTGAGTGGAGGAAAGCTCTGCAACAGCTGAGAATACGTCCAGTACCATAAACCTGAGATGATGTATTAAAAAACACCCGTGCATAATCTGGAGCCTTACTCGTTAATATTCGTGACATGCAAGAACACTCTCCTCTGATTGGCTCACAGCCACTGCCTTCGTTTTTCCGTGGGTCAAAAATTCAACGATGATGTTTTATCCCCACAAATAACACACACCTGAACCTGTTCCGCCATGTTATGGAGTTGCTAATGCTAATGGTTAGCTCTGCTGTCTGACGCATGCTCTGCTCTCTCCCTCCCATACAAGGTCACAGGTCAAGGTGGGCGGGGCCACTACATCTCATACCATGCAACTTTTCCATGTTTTAAATCATGTTCTTGAGCCAATGTGTGCTAAAACGGCCCTTTACAATCCTCCACAGCTCTCTGTGGCCAGAATACTGCACTTGCAACTTCAGAGTGGCGGCTGCCTCGTGTTGGACTTAGTAAAATGAAGCTGACATGCTAGCGCTGCAGTCTGCTTCCAGCACATTTCCTGGATGTTTTAGATCAGGAGCACAGCTGATTTGTTAGATGTAGAGATGAACCGCTCCTGTAGACACTAATGAAGGCTGGGAGACGTTTCAGCTGTTAGATGTAGAGATGAACCGCTCCTGTAGACACTAATGAAGGCTGGGAGACGTTTCAGCTGTTAGATGTAGAGATGAACCGCTCCTGTAGACACTAATGAAGGCTGGGAGACGTTTCAGCTGTTAGATGTAGAGATGAACCGCTCCTGTAGACACTAATGAAGGCTGGGAGACGTTTCAGCTGTTAGATGAAGGTGTTAAACGACAAACGTTCACTTTGCTTTGACTAACAGACAATGGGGGGTGCTAAAAGCAAGCCAAACTGGAAAGTATCCATTTAACATGGTCAGATGAGTGGGAATAACAAGTTATGCAGTTAGGGTTAAACTAGGACCGAGCACATCGTCCGCTCCTGTAAAAACACCAGTTTGCCCTCTAGCTGTAGGAAGCCCGGTGCACTGTCTCAAACAGGAGCCAGCTCCATCACCAGAGCCTCTTTAGTGGAAACGTGCAACAGACTCACCTGAAGTCAAGGCACAGCGTCTGCAGAAGGTGTGCTGCAACAGGAGGAAACAGGAGACTTAACGCATTTTTCCATAAATAAAGGTTATTTTAAAAACGCTACAGATGCCCAACGACGGTTTTTGGTGGCAGACGGACAGAAAAGGACACAAACTGCTGCAGCAAGCTGGACAACAGAAACGGGTCGAGGGTGTTTCATCAGCACGAGCAGGCTCACGTCAAACCCCAGAGCCGGTTAGAGGGAAGAAGCAGTGAATAAATACGAGATCTCACACGGAGAAGTCTGCATGTGTTTTTCAAACATTTGGACTCAAACTGGATGGTTAAATGTGAGACTTTACTAAGACCGGACTTCCACTGGGTGTTTGGCGTTGGAGCAGGAAAACCACCGGAGCGGCGGAGCGACTGGACGAGAACCACGCATAAAGTAGGAGAAACTCACCCCGCACGTGGTGATGACGGGGTCCTTGAAGACGTTGCAGCACAGCTGGCAGCAGAGTTTGACTGAAGGCTGCTCAGCAAACACCTGGGGCTCCTGCCACAGAAGCAAGATGAGTGTTTCTGACAACGACACACACACACACACACACGCCTGCCTCGACGCTGACACAAACCATGTCCTCCTCTTCCTCGTGGAGGGAGAAGGTGGAGCGCAGAGACATGTTGGACTCAGAATGGAGAGACCGGATTGAGATGGCCGAGTCGGACCTCCGCGGAGTGCCGATGGGAGGCTGAGTGGAGGAGGAAAGCAGAAAAACCTTTCATCACATTTAATCTGGAGATGCAACGTTCCTACGGCAGCGAGAGGCTCTTACCATCCCATCATCGTCATCACGAGGGGAGTAGGTGAGCGTGCTGGAGGAGGAGGGCGTTCTTCTGTGCTGTTTGTAGGTACCGGCTCCCTCAGCTGAGAACATCAGAGAAGACACAGTAAGAGAGGGACTCGGGACCGAGACGGACGAACCAAAGGGGGGATGACCTTTGTCACCTTTAGCTCCAGTCACCACGGCTGAGAAGGTTGGGCCGAACGCAGCTTCCATCCTGCCCTGCAGCGAGGAGACAGGAAGACGACCGCTTCACCCACTGACACAGCTGTGGTGAGTGATGTCACCAGAACCACGACCAGGTCTGCGTTTATCTCTCATTAACACCAAAACAGGGACCAACCGGGCTGGGGCCAAAAATCAGAGGCAATCTCCCAAACTCTTGAGATTAAAGTCAAGTCTTCGGGAGGAAAAACGCAGATTTGGTTTCCGACAACTTTCTGATTTAGTGAGAAAAAGTCAAAGCTGATAAAAGTTCTAGTTTCACTAAATGAAAACTCAAATGTTCTGGTGGTTTCATCATAAAGCTGCAAGAACAAAGCTCTGAGACGTAAGTCTGCACAGTTTCTAACAGCTGAAGGGCCAAACAGCAAAATTATGACATCATCATTTAAATCTGGCTTTCTTTTAATATTATTAATACTATTTTTATTTTATTTTAAATGGATTCATCCACGCCGGCTCACTTCTTACCCCACTGCCTGAGTCTGCTGGGGGTGTGGGGGGGCCGCTGGGGATGGTCGAGGAGGTGGCGGACGCCGCTCCGCCTCCGGAGTACTGGTTGTAGCGAGGTGTTTTACTGCTGCTCATCACTCAGACACCAACAGGAAGCGCCGAGGGCAGCTGGACCGCTAATCCTGCAACATAAAACTCTCGGTTTGGTTCAGCAGAAGTTCTGAGGAGCTCTCCTCCTTCCGTTAGTGATCTACTCACAAAAAGAGCAGAAGTGAGTGCTGAGAATATCACCTGAAGGATAAACCACTGAACAACCCGGCTACAATCAGAGCGGTTTTCATCTTCATCAACGTGGATAGAAAACACCACCGAGTCCTCACACGTGCCAAATGCAATCAAACCTGAGGGTTTGTTGTCTCGGTGGGAGCTAAAATCGTAAATGTCTTCAATAATCACTTCATCAAGTCCGGTCATGCCTTTGCAACAGCTTCACCCGTCTCTGGGGTAGCGACTCGGCTACATGCTACTCAATCCAGTTTATTTATAAAGCAGCACATCAGGACCAGAGTCGTCTCACGGGCCTTCACTCAGTAAACAACACAGGTCGGGTCATGAAGCCAATCAGTAACAAGTTTCCTACATAAGGAAGCCAGCAGGTTGCATCGAGTCACTGACTAGTGTCAGAGTCTTTACAGCAATCCTCATACTCAGCAAGCATGCAGCGACAGTGGAGAGGAAAACTCCCTTTTAACAGGAAGAAACCTCCAGAGGATCCTGGCTCAGTATAAGCAGCCATCCTCCACGACTCATTTAAATGTCTTACGTGGTCTTTGGTTCATAGCCTTTCATATCACATCATCAGCTGTAGTCATGTCTGCATCAGGGTCATTTCCCATTTAGACCAGAATAAACCTAATCTGCTAGTCTGATGACTTCTGCTTCTACTGAGAGAAGCGTCTCAACCTGAGGCTCATCTACAGCACACCTGAGTAGCCTGGCTAGCATCAGCTCAGCTCAGGAGTAACAGCATCAGATGACCTCATGGATGACTCCAGATGTGTCTGCAGAAGGCCTCTTCCATAGCCACCCAGCTCTGCCAGTCAAAGGGGAAACCTAAAATACTCTGCAGTCTGCATACAAAAGCATGTGGTAGTTTACATACCGAAAATCCTCTAATATTGGCCTGTATTCCATTACCGGCCGGGTCTCCTACATTAGCCGGTCTCGTCTTCAGCGGGGGTAAATTAAAGGCCGGTCTCTAAAAGTGGCCGGCTTCACGGCACAAACCCAGCCACAGTTTTGATAACTTTAAAGTACTAATGGCCTTAAAATATTTTAATAAATAGCATACTTAGCCACCGTTAATGAATTAGTCTCACAAAACACGATGGCAAGTGTGACCACGTATAAACAACAAAGTCACTTCCTGCTTCCAGTTCTCAAGTCCCGAGTGATGTTGTGACTATCGCGCGACTTTCCAAGAAGCGCTCGGCGACGGGGCACGTGCTGCGTGACCACTTCACTTTTCAAAATCGCGGGTGTGACGCAGCGCGTCCGCCTCCAGAGTGCTCAAGGCTTCAGTTACTTTGTTGACTGGGTGTAAAAATGCCCAATCGGGACAAAAACAAGCGTTTTGTGTGTGTGTCCCAAAAGTAGTGCGCCACAAAGGAATTACTGACACTGAACGAAGACGGGATAGCGGATCATAATCTCCGGCTGCAAGACGAGCAGAAAGGGAAAATGCTACAGCTAGCAGCGATGACTTCATCACAGGTAAGGGTTTACTTAAGGTGTTTTACGGCTTTTTGTTGCACAGCTACAAAAACACAGCGCCTTGGGGTTCCCGACAGGAAGGCGCTTTATAAATAAAGCTTTGATTGATTGATTTAAACTTTGTTAAAGGGACATTATGGAAGTGTGACAGCCAAAACATGTATAGAAATAATAAATGTCTTCTTCATACATTCTCCTGCAATGCCCTGGTCCTGTAGAATGAGCCCTGGCATTTTTACTGTGATTGCCTGTTTTTCTGTAAAATCACAGAAAAAGAGAGATGCTCGGGTCGAGCAGGCTGCTTCATGCGCGTTCACGCTCAGGCATCGCCCGTAGCATTTGCTATCCGTAGCTTTAGCAGCAGAGAGAGAGGCAGTGCCACTTTGTCGCTGTTCCTAACGCCTAGCGACAAAGCTAGCTACATTTCTGAGGACCCTTAGCTACTTTCTGTAGAACTTTCTTCTAGATATTTCCTGCTAATTAGCAACAAAATAGCCATTTTTGCTCATTGAACGTTGTTTCAGCTGTCATCAACGATATAAAAGTTACAGATACGAAAGACACTACTAGCGCTGTAGCTCACCTAGTTAGACGTCGGACTCTCGTACAGAAGATCCAGGTTCGACTCTGGATGTGAACATAGTTCATTTAGAGTTTGTTTTTTACATTAATGGTATATTTTTTTACAGTAAGACGCCCAAATTTTTATTTGAGACTCGCCGAACGGCATTGAATTCACAGATAAAAAAGATGTGGGTTCAACTTTCATTTTGGAACCATTTTTCAAGCAAGGGAAGGGAATGATCTGAGCATGCAGGAGGACTGACCCATCATAAACCTTTGTCGGCTGTGCTGAAGAGAAAGGTACAGAACCACATTATTTAATTAATTAGCTGCTCGTTCTCCTGTCCTCTGTCCTCCGGGCCACACACACACACACACACACACACACACACACACACACACACACACACACACGGGACTGTCTCAGCTGGTATTTTCGTTAAGGAGTGTGCACGTACAGCATGCGCGCCTCGTGCACGAGCCTACTATTGAAGCTGTCATTACACTTTTGGCCTGAGGGGGCAATCACAAGCATAAAAATTCAAAACTCCGTAAAGTTCCTTTAAGCATATGCCATGTTGTATGTTGCATGTGTGTACCGTAAATCCACTAATACAGGCCCAAACTCATGAAGCTCCAGGCCTTTATTGGAAGGAGGACCAGAATTAGAGGCAGGCCTCAATTTCTATTTGAGCAAAATGAACTAATGGTTCGCTGGAGTTTTTGACAATTAAAATTGCGCCCACATTTTCAAAGTTAAACACATTTCTTTTAACAACGGTAGTTTCTGCTTCAGCCCCCCCCCCCCCCCCCCCTCCCCCTGCTTCAGCCCTCTCCCCCCTCCCCCGCTCATATATATTCACCTTATGAGTTACCTTTGAACTGCAGTTCTAAAAGATCTACCGACCGCTAAAACAGCGGAGTGGTCGCCGACCACATCAGGTGCGTCACCGGAGGACATAACAGGTGATGCACCCCGATCCACAGCAGCGAAACGCATCAGGCACAAATAAAAGAATAAAAGACAGAAAACATAAAAGGAAATGAGCCGACATGAACGATCGCGTGTTAAATTAGTTTTTGAGGTGGCGACACCTGATGTGATAATGTTACTGTGGCCGTGCTCAGGACGCAGATGTCTGGAGCGCGTCAACAATCAGAGCTTTGCATGCACAAGCTGGTTAAGGTTAGGATGGGGGTGAGGGGGAGGTAAAATTGCAAGAGGGTAAAGGTCACAATTTGGTTAAATGTCAGTTTTACGGCGGGTGTCGGTACCGACGCTCTGGCACAGCGCGTTGCCTCCCGACGCGCAGGAGCTTGTCACCTGCTGACAGCAGGCTGCTGTCTTTTCCGTGGACTGCATCTTGCCGGTCATTATCACGTGACAGCGACTAGTCGATGACAGGCATAACAAGTCACTATAGAGCGGTGAAGTCGACTAGTGACTAGTTCATACAACCCCTGCTACTGCTCCCCAGAGTGTTCTGCAGCATAATCAGCACGTTCTCTTTGAACTTGATATCAAATTTTCGCCTCCTCTTCGTCTCCGCACGGTTAAAGTTACCCTCGCGGTCTAGCCTCGCGGCTGCCAGCCTTGAGTGAGGAGCAGGAGCCAAGATCACCAAGCTCCAGTGAATCAGCCTGACACCGCCCCTCCTTCTCCTCTCTCCCGGGCTGCTGAGGAGCACAGCTGAACTGAATCTACCTGATGAAGCAAACACCTGCATAAAAGGGCTGTGCCTTCAGCAGTCTGGGAGGCAGCAGTGCAGGGGTTCTGCTGTCCTCCTGGTTTTTGTGTGTTTTCAACCCCTTTCGTTTAGACACATTTGGATTTGTTGGAGTTTTAAACTGTGATAGTTTTAACTCTTGGTGATAAAGTTTGGATGATCCAGGGGGATCTTTTGTGTGCTCGGTTTTTTTTGTAAAGGTTAACTTGGTTTGTGCAATTTTACTGACTTCGGTTTTGAACACCTTCGTGTGAGTAAAGCTTTTAAAATAAGCTTTTACCAGGTGTTTTAATCAGTAAATTGTTTGGGACTTTTATCAACTTCGGGCTTTTAGAACACCTTCGTTTCGGTAAACTTAATATAAGTTTCTACCAGGTGTTTTTATAGTTGATAATTCGTGATGTTAACCTTTTAGAGAGATCTGTTTGCTTGTGTTTTAATACCTTTTGTACGAAAAAACCCATTTTAAACTCTGCCGCCAGTTCTTATGTTACCCCCATCCTTCACATTTTTACCAACACGTGTCGGGGACGTAACTCACTGGCAAATCAAAAGTGAGACGATGACACAACCGCCCCCCGTACTTGCTTGTTACCACATTCCACCCGGCCACAATAAAAAACCGGCCATTATTCACCTCCGCCGACTCCGACACCGGCCAAAACGTGATACCCGGCCGTTAATTAAATATAGGCTAATATTAGAGGATTTACGGTATATATATATATCTGTAAATAAGACTGATTTATTGTGAAAAGGACATAAGAGGAAGTGAGGATGACATCATAATAAGGTAACCAATGAAAGACGTGTGTTGACCTTTAACCTCATAGATGCACCAATAAAAGGGGAGCATTGTTGTCTACAAAGGTGCTAGCGCCAGTGAAAGCCCATTGAAACATGAAGCTCTGTATCTATCGTTTATTTCCTACCTTTGAACCTGGGACTTGGGATATTTCGACCGACCGCTGCGTACGACACTCTGCTAACACGGTAAGGCGTCTGTTGTCTTTTGCTGTGAATCAATAACCTAATCATCACCATGTGTTTACACTACCGGCATGCTTGCTACCATACTGGGATTTAGCCTGAAACAATGGTGTTTGTTGTAAATGCTC